CGTATAGTCGTGATTCATTGAATGGATACTTAACAAAAGATGTTTGTGATGCAATTCGAAATAATGTTGATCTGAGTATGATTCAACATTTTGAATTTTCATCAACTATCGGCACCGCTGAAGCCTTTATTGAATTAATTGAAAATATGACTAATCTTTCTTCTATTCATATTCGATACTTACATAGTCTTGATCTATTTAATCTAGTTTCATCACCAAATCTCTTGATTCGACATCTTGTTTTATTCGATTATGAACCAACAACAAGAAAACAACTTTTTTATCATATATGTCGAATCTTTCCACGATTAACCCATTTGACGACAGATTATCATTCACGACGAAGACTTTGTTATTTATTAAATGAACTTGTTCATCTTGAAACGCTCACTTTGCGTTTAGCTCAAGATCAATATGCTCCAAATCATTCTTGGATCAAGAAACATAGTCGACTACAAATGAATTCTTTTGAAATCAGAGTATTTAATATTGCTTATACAGAAAGAGAGTTGGTTTTGTGGATCAATACTATTAATAATATAGAGCATCAACGTCATCATCAACATCATACATTAAACAAATGTCGTATTCAATAATTTATTTCAAATTATTTTCGTATTTCTTTTTAATGACAAAAATGGAAAATTAACTCTTGAAATTTGTCGAAAAAACGAAAAATAACTATTTTTTTTTTGTTCGATTTTAAAACACGAAATAAATAATCAAGAAATAGTACTTACTAGTTAACTACTCATCAATGATTCACGACTATATGAATTTGAAGAATAAAATGATTGTTGGCTTGATCATACGTAGATATATAGAAAACAGATTCTGATGTTTCTGAATCTACTTCAGTTCTATGAATACTACCTTTTTCTGTTATATTGAATATTTTTACAGCACATATTAATTCTGATTGAAAATGTCTCATTTTTCGTATTTATGAAAAATAAAAAATTTTTCGTATCCTATATCATATCCTACAGTAATTTTCGTACCCTTGCCCTACCGTATAGATTTCGTAACTTACAACCTACCCGTACCCTAAGATTTCTAGGTTTTGACAGATATGAACAGAAATTTTCTTGTTAAAAAGATTAAATAAGTGCGATTTTATGTATATTATTTATATATAATGAAATATGTATCCATATCATAAAATAAAATAAAACATGTAATAAAGTATATAATATAATCATAATATAGTTTTCGGATTCCAAGAATCATCATCCAGAGTTCTAACCAGTAACGGTAAACTGCCGGTACCGTCCGGCTCAGTAGAGGACATCTTACTACTGACCGGTAAAGATAACTTTTTCTGTACCAGTCAGTCTGAATTTTTTAATAGTGTTTGCATGTTCTCTTATCGAAAAACTGAGCATAAAAGTTGTTTTTTCTTACAAATCACAAATTTTTTGCCGATGTCAAAGACTATATCGGTGATGAAATATGCATCAGACTGTTGTATTAGGTCAACCTTCGTTATAATATCATTGTTACATTTTCTCAACTAAATTTGATATTAGGTCACGTTATTTAAAAAAAAATAGAATAATTGTTTTGTCTTTTGTACTTTTATAGACTATATGCTCCGGTAAACATAAGATTTAGAAAAGCGAATATAGGGTGGAAGACAGATTATGTATATATACAGTTAATAAAAATTGGGAATGTCTGAAGACTAATTAAATAAAGTACAAAACTAATATGAAACCTGTAGCTGTATGATATCTTCTGCTCGCCCACCAATAGATGCCCAGAAAGAGAAAGCATAGAAAAATAAATAGTAATAGACGTTATAGTTTTCAAGCAGCGCTTTTATACGGTTACTATAGTCGTTCAGAGGAAGATATGACTAATTCGAGAGGTGATTTGACCGTTGCAGGGTCAGAAAAAAAAGAAGAATTACTCATGCGGATATATCGACCGATTCAGTTCGGTGTGACGGTTTGGCACAATACCGATATCGGTGAAAAAAAACTCCTATCGGTTCTAACTCTATCTAATGAGTACTCCTGTAGCTTATTAATGGTGCAAATACATATATAACAATGCAAACTATTTTATGAATTCTAATGTATTATTTTGCAGATAAAACATTGTAGTGCATTATTTGCAAACATAATGCATTAAAATTCCTGAAATAGGTTGTATTTCAGAGATCGAAACTAAATTGAATAAGTCAATAATTCAATTCGATTCGGTTGTTGCGACTAGAATCGAATGAAGATTTTCTTATTCTTTTCGATCTCTGCTGCATTATCATGTGATTGCATCCACTATCTTCATAGCGGCTACATGAATAGTCTTTTATACTAGATAAATGTCAAAAGTTTCGTCGAAGTTGCTCTACCTTAACCATTTACTGTACTACTCTTACCCTATAGGACTCTGGTTTCAATCGTTGTTCATCAAGAAAATGTTCTTATTTTTGGTATAAATAAACATCAATATTTATTTATGTAACATAATTTTGCTTATACTAATGAAGAAAATTCTTTGAATTATTTTTTCTACTCAATAACTATGACTGTATAGAAGTAGATTCGAACAGTTTCCATACTCAAAATCAAATAATTTTACGTGTTTTTAAATGCAAAATAATTATTTAAACAAAGAATTCTTAATTTTTATTGTTTGAAAGGTGAACTGTACTAAAAATATTTTGTTAATTATATAATAGTTGTCCTTACAATTGGACATATTAAAAATATTTATTTACAAACATCATAAAACTATTCAAAAAAGAAATTAACTAAAAGTTTCGAAGAAAAATTAAGAATTAATTCTAATAAAAGATTGAATTTTTTGTCTACAAATTGGACATGAATGAAGTGCATATCCACAAGGAACACAAGCACATAAATGTCCACAAGGCATACATGCTAATTGTTTTTTTTCATTAAGACATATAAAACATTCACCTAATGATTGTTTTAATGTTTGAGATAAATTGTCTAATTGTTGATATTCTGATGGAATTATAATATTATCAGAAGAACCTTGAATAATTTCAATTTGTTTTTGAAGAATTGAACAAGCCATTGATAAATCAATATCTGATTTAAAATCATCATTTTTGAGTTTTAATTGATCTTCAATACAACGTTTAATTATTTCTAATGGATATTGTGAACGAAGACGTTCAACTATAGGTAAATCAAGTCTTGCTCTAACTAAACGAGCAAGTTCATCTTTATCAATTTTCTTTTCTTTTAAGTTTAGTTTTTTTTTCGCTGTTTGAATTTTTTCATATAATTGCTTTCCACATAAATGCTTAGCATAAGTACAATTAGAAAACCAACGAGCATGTTCAATCATAGGATTATCTTTTGCACCCCATTTATGTAATGAACCATTACAATAAAAACATGTTACTGTATTATTAACACCAGTGAAAAAGAATCCAGCACGAACTAAACTTTCAATACTTGGATAATTTTCTGTCCAATGAACATTAGAAAATGTTTGTTCTCGACGTGATATTTCAGCCATTGTTGGATGAGATGGTTCAAATTTTTCTTCAAGTGTATCATTAATTATTTTTGGTGAATTATTTACTAAAGGCATTGAAAGAACAAATGGACATTTTGGAGAAAGTCTTTTATGAACTTCAATTGGATCATCATTATTTGTCCATTCATGGCAAATTGTATTACAATATATACAAATAACTCGATCATTAACATTACATGAAAACCAACCAGCAGATATCATTGACTGACTACTTGGTATAAAATGTGGCCAATGAGAAAGACTACGAATTCGAATTTCTCGTATTGCTTCTGATTCATTAAAAGAATATTTCTTGTTTTCAATAATTAATTCTTGTTTTGAAATATTTGTTATTGAACTGAGAATTGTTTTTTGTTTTTCTGTCTTACTTACAGAGGAACAAACATCTACATAAGATTGTTTATTGAAATCTTCAGTTTGAATAATGTCAGCAGTAGCCATATCTATACAATTTAATTTAATCATAGCAGAATGATGATCAATATTATTTTTATATTACTATGAACCGACATATATTTCGAAAAATACCTAACATCATTGGATTTTTTTATTAATAGAAAGGACAAGTGGCGGTACGGCCATTTTCTCGCCCAAAAATTTTCTCAAAAAGAATTATATA